AATTAGGATCATTGAGTTCTTAGAGTACTCAGTATTCAGTACCCATGAAGCAGTATTGTGTTATTTAAAAGTGGACTTCCATTAGTTGTAAATGGGTACTGAAAATTTTAGGAAAACTACTAAAAAAAAAGTTTTAAAAAAGAAATAAACCTGATACTTTAAAAAAGAGTGGAAGACAAAAATTGGCACAAAGAACAAGAGCAACAATAGAAAACAGTAACAATCTGGTAGATGTCAGTCCAAATATTATCACTAATCAGTTTGAGCATCAGTGGTCTAAATGCACCAATTGAAGTATAGACATTGGAGTGGATTAAAGTGAAACCCAATTATATCTTGCTGCAAAAGACCCATTTAAAATATGGACTAAAATTAAATGGATGGAAAAAGATAATCCATGCTAACATCAATCAAAAGAAAAGTGAGAGTAGCTGCATTAATTTCAAACAGAGCTGACTTCAATGCGAGGAAGTTACCAAGGACAGAGAGGAACTACGTAATCATAAGGGCGTCAATTCTCTAGAAAGATATAACAATCTTTAATATGAATTCAACAAAGAGCAGAGCATCAACGTGCATGCGGCAAAAACTGGTAGAACTGTCATGAGACGCAGACGAATCCATTATTATGATTACTGAATTCAACACACCTCTATTAGAAATGCACGTACCCAACTGGCAGAAAATCAGTAAGGGCACAGTTAAACTCAACAACACTATCAGTCAGTTGGCACGATGGGCATCTGTAGAACACTTCATCTGACAACGGTAGAAGATACATTACTCTCAAACTTGCTTGGAACATTCACCAAGATAGACCGCATCGAGGGCTATGAAACACACCTTAACAAATTTAAAATAACAGAAACCATATAATTTCTGCCTACAACTCACAATGAAGTAAACAATAGAAATCAGTAACAGAAAGAGCTGGAAAATCCCCCAAATACATGGATATTAAACAACAAACCTCTAAATAACATAAGGGGTCAAAGAAGAAATCTCAAGAGAAATTTAAGTATATTTTGAACTAAATTTGTAGGGTGCAGTGAAAACACTGCTTAGAGGAAAAGTTACAGCATTGAATGTATCAGAATACAAGGAAAATCTACAATCAGTCATGTACAGTTCCACCTTAGGAAAAACAGAAAAAGAAGAGCAAATTAAATCCAAAGTAAGCAGGAGGAAAGAAAGAAAAATTATAGCAGAAATTAATGAAATTAAAAACAGAACACAATAGAGTAAATCAAGCAAACCAAAAATTGGCACTTTGAAAGGATCAATAAAATTGATAAGCTAGCCAGGCTGAGAAAAACTGAGAGGTACTTACCAGAAATAACAAAGGAGACATACAGGAGGCTCCAGAGACATTAAAAGAATATGAAGACAACTCTATGCCAAGTAATTTAGTGACCTAGATGGAGCAGACCAATTCCTTGAAAGATACAGTCTGCCAAAACCCACACAAGAAGAAATTGATAATGTGGATACACCTGTGTCTTTTAAAGAAACTGAAAACAATAATAACCTTCCAAAGCAGAAAGTACCAAGGCCAGATAAGTTCACTGGTGAATTCTACCAAACATTTGAGGAATTAATTGTAACAATTCTCTACAGTCCTTTATGGGTAATAGAAGCAGAGAGAATACTTCCAAACATCATGTATGAGGCCAGCATTACTCTAATATCAAAACCAGATTAAACCATTACAAGAAAACTACAGATCAATACCTCTCATGAACAAAGATAAAAGAATCCTCAGCAAAATACTAGCATACTGAATCCAACAATGTATAAGAATTATACATCATGAGCAAGCTGGATTTGCCCCAGGTATGCAAGGCTGGTTGAACATTCTAAAGTCAATTAATACAATCTGTCACATCAACAGGCAAAAGACAAAGTCATATGAGCATATCAACAGATGTAAAAAAGCATCTGACAAAATCCAGCATCGATTCGTGATAAAATCACCAGTGAACTAGGAGAGAGAACTCCCTCCACCTGATGGAGAGTATTTGCAGGATAACTGCCGCTAGTTCACACTCAACATGTGAGACATGACGCTTTCCCACGGAGATCGGGCGGGAGCGAGGCAAGCATTGTCACCGCCCTTCTAACGTCTTACTGGAAGCCCCAGTTAATTCAGTGAGACAACAGGAAACAAAAGGTATCCTGGCTGGGAAGGAAGAAATGAAACTGTCTTTGTTCACAGATGACATGATCACCTATGTAGAAAATCCAAACAAATCAACAAAGAAACTCTTGGAATTAATAAGCAACAATAGCAAAGTTGCAGGATGCAAGATTACCATAAAAAAATTGATTTTCTATATACCAACAATTAACAAATGAAATTTGAAATTTAAAATAACATCTTTACATTAACACCCCCTCCAAAAGGAAATATTTAGGTATAAAGTAACACAATATATACAAGATCTATATGGGAAAAACTAAAAAACTCTTGACAAAAATCAAGTAAACAAATGGACGGCGTTCCATGTTCCTGGTAGAAGACTCAATATCACGATGTCAGTTCTTCCCAACTAGGCCTGTGGCATCAATGCTATTCCAAGCAAAATCCCAGCAAGTTATTTTGTGGACAGGGACAAACTGATTCTAAAGTTTCTTCATGCCCCTCTTCAAAATAAACTTTGTATTTTAAAGCAGTTTTTGGTTCACAGCAAAATTGAGCAGAAGGTACAGAGATTTTCCTTGGACCCCCTGCCCTTCCTGCACAGACTCCTGCACTGTCAGCTTCGCCCACCAGACGGGACATTTGTCACAACTGGTCCAGAGTCCACAGTTTGCACTAGGGTCACTCCTGGCGCTGGACCTCCTATGGATTTGGACAAGCGTACGATGACATGCGTCCCTCAAGGCGTCACACAGAGTATTCCCACTGCCCGACATATCTGTGCTCCACCTTTCATCCTTCCCCACCCCCAAACTTTTGACAACCACTTATCTTTTTACTCTCTCCACAGTTCTCCCTCTTCCCGAATGTCACATAGTTGGGATCCTACAGTAGGTAGCCTTTCCAGGCTGCTTTCTTTCACTTAGTCACATGCATGTAATTCTCCGCCCTGCGTCTTCATGGCTCGGTAGCTCACTTGCTTTCGCCGCTGAGAAATCCTCCACTGCTTGAACGCGCCGGTTCATCAGCTTGACGAGCCTTCACCTGCAAGCTGAGCTCCTGCTCCTCTGGGAGGCCCTGGCGACTCTTATCAAATATGCACGCTACGTTCCAGGCCGGCTTTCGATGAATGGCATCTTTTGGGATTACTATGATCATCCGCAAGATGCTGAGAGAAAATACAACTCACTGTTTCAAATATTATTTCCATGGCAGGCGTGGTGGTCTTCCTGTCTCTAGCAAAAGTTCCAGCAGGTTCTTTCAGCATTTACTTAGTTGCCCTTGGCACACTTGGGGACAGAGTGAGCCTTCCAAGAGACAGGATAAATTCAGCCTCAGCAAAATAAAATCAAAATTGAGTCAAAAGGAAAAAAGGAAAAACAAATCCAAATCAACAGCACCATCCAAGGACTGCTAGCTGGGAGAAATCATCCTGGGTCCCCACACAGGTCCCTTCCTTCAGAAAACCTCAGCCCACCAGCCCACAAGTGATTCAAATTGTACGAATTCATCCCTGTATTGCTACAACATAGATTCTCAGCTGAGCAGAAAATATTGCCAGGAGGGCAAATTCCAGCTCAGAAGACAGGGCCCATGTCTGAGCCCAGGGCACCTCCGTCAGGCCAACTCCCAACCTGCCTGACGGCCTTGGCCAGGCCCTGACGCCGGCAATCTCTCCAGACTCAGGGGATTCAGCAGTTACATCGATCCCTCCCTTGAAGTTGTGGGACTTGATGGTCCTTGACCTTGAAGGCCAGGCCTTCCTCCTCTGCTTCTGCTGCGAAGAGAGCCAAAGACCCTGTCATAGAGCAGCAGCTTGGGGCAGACCCGGAACACAGGAAGAGAGCCGCCCGGGCACCCCCCAGACCCCAGCTCCCTCGCTGCCCCACTGCAGGGACCCCTCGCCCTCTCCTGACGCTCCCCTTCCTATTCCTCTGGAGAAGGGCCTGCCACCTGCCTTCACACCTTTCACTGTTTTCTCAGGCTCATTTAACCGTCCTGCCCTGCGGGGCTGTGAGCTGTCCTTTGTGAAGCGTTCACACACACATACGTATGATCACATACACACACGTGTTACCGTAACCAGGGGCTTACGTGGTGTGTAGGAGGAGGTATGCAAGGCTATGTACACGTACACACCACATACAGACTCCCCAAAAGTATAGATCTATATATACACACAACAAAGGAAAATCATAGGTATTAATAGACAAACAGGTGCAAACCTGGCAGGTAACAGCACCCGCCTCTCTGCGCCTCACCGTCCCGTCCACAGGACCTGTGGAATCTCCTCTCCAGTCAAAGCTGCAGCCACTCTGTCTAGGGGCTGCCAGACCCCCTCAGCATGCACGCACCATCCCTTTCTCAGCTGGGGGACATTCATCTTGTCTCCATGGTTTTTTTGCTGTTAGGAAAAACTACTCCAACAAATACCCACTGTGTACGGGGCACATGAGCTCATTTCATCACCGCAGCAAATGGGGGTCCTCCCCACCCCACCAGCAAGGGGTGGCCCTCCCTCTCAAACTGCCTCTCTGGCAAGTAAAGGGAGGTCTTGTTGTCTTAACTGCCATTTTACCAACTTCTTGTCACTTGGGGAACCTGTAAGTGTTCATTTACTGCCATGGGCCATTGGCTCTTCTGTCAATGGTCTTCTCAGCACCCCGTGCCCATGATTCTGATGTGACACTTCACTTAATGGGGACAAAGGGACAAGCTGGGCCTCCAGGGCAGTCACCCTACAAGTGACCGTCCTGGGCTGCACACCACCGCCCCTGTCCAAGGGACAACCACCTGATTAGAGCCCTCACCGTTCCCACGCAATCACATGCCCTCAAGAATAACACAGTGACAAAAGCCATTTAAACCACACTTACACTTTATTTGTGACTCGCTGGAGGTAACAGTTACTCACACAAAACACGGGCACCCAGATGTCACAGCGGGCTAGGCCCGCCCAGCAGACCCTGCTGAGATGCAGGAGAAGACGTGCAGGAGCCCTGCCTCTCCTCTGGGTGCTGTCCAGGGAGGCCACAGACAGCCCTGCGCAGGCACTCGGGCCTGAACTCGGCGAGACTCCGCAGGTCCCACTGGTCGGAGGCGAGGCCTCGCTCCCGAGTGCCTGCATCTGGCCCCGGGGGACAGAGCAGCTTCTCACGGGAGCAGCATTTCTAAACTTGGTGACGCTTTCTTTTAAGAATGTGGCTTGTTTTGGAAGTGCCCCAAGCCAGCTGCTCAGTGTCCGTCCAAGAGCTCGGAGGCCTGTCTCCTTCAGGTTCCTGAGCCCTGACACAGGCCGCAAGCATCTTCTACTCGCACGGCCAGACCAGCGTGGAGGCAGAGCATGTGATGGAGGCCTCCCCGGCCAGAAGCCAGGGCAGGGAAGCAGGTGGTTCCTTCCAAGGCTTTGACTGGAACACTGAAACCATTTATTCTCCATACCTCGCCAAACCCATACTCAAGAACCAAACCCGTATTAGCCGTGTGGCTGCCACAGCTTAGAAAGGGCCCTTCTCAGTATTCTCACTCCTGGAAACCAGCAGCTTAACAAGGATCCCAAAACACTTAATGTTGGTGGAAAATATTCTCCAACTAACCCATCACAGCCGTTGAGCGGTCACCCACTGGGTGCCTTCCCTGCCATAGAAAGGCTCCGCCCCCACGCAGGGGGTTTGAATGGGTGCTGTCACCTTCTTCCCCAGCCCAAAGTGTGGCCATGGCAAACAGGCCCGGGCAGGGGACTGCTAACAGAGGGGCCTTCTGAAGAGTGCGTGCATGGGGCACACAGGCCGAGGGGCACAGAGGCCAAAGGGCAGAGCGACAGGTGGCCTACATGCAGGGTCCTCGAGTCCAGGGCCCGCTGTCGGCTTGCCTGACCCTCCGAGGCCTCCCAGCACATTCCTGACGCCGAATGCTGCCTTTTCTCCCTCCAGTCCTCTCCAAGCCTCCTGAGGTCTCCCTCACCCACAGCTCATTCTTCTCCGGGCAGCTGGCTGGCATCCAGCCAGAGCTAGGCTTCCTTCCTGATTTCTGCACCGTGGCCATCGCTGAGCATGTGGCCTGACTTCCTCCCAGAGTGGGCTTTCTAAATGTAGCACAGATTGGCATACAGGTCTCTATGATCAAGGCAACGGGCACAAAAAGTGAGAAAACGTTATGTTTTTTCACTATCAGCGAAAACATGACTGACAACAGCCAAAGTCTAGCCAGAGGCATCGGCCCAGGCAGGAGGTCAGCAGAGGCTGCAGCCTGAGGTACATACTGCTCCGGGCAGGGGTGGGGGTGTGGGGGGCAGCGAGGGCCCAGGGAGGTCATTAAGAGGAGGTGGTGGACATTCTGTCATGGCCTCATGACACTGACAAGCCGCAAGGGTTCTGTGAAGACACAGGTGGCATCTGCCCACAGGGTAAGGGTGACCCAGAGTCAAGGGTCTAAGACTGCTACTGGGGCTGCCTGCAGGAGCCCTCAGCTCACTGGCCTGACACAAACACCACCTAGCAGGCTGGAAGGTTCCGGACTACTTAATACTGACAAAAGGGCCCTACGTGCTTCTCTATGCTGGCCAACGGGTCTCTCTCTCAGCGTGCCCACACACGCATGCACAGACTCAGAGCAACCGTAATGTCCATTCAAAATGGCAAGAATTAGCTACCCTGAAAAGGTGACATCCCCTTTTTTTAATTGAAGCAAGGACAAAAGCCAGTCACATTCACAGATTAATAGGCCTCATACCAATCGTCAAAACCACCTTTCCTGATTAACCATCTCCTAGTTTAAATTGACTTCACAGTTCCTTAGAGCCATCTGAATTGTCCTTCCGGGAGCTCTGCACCGCTACGGGACACAGGCGCCGCGGGACAGCAACTCACTGGGTGTCATCGTCATCAAAGAGGTCTTCAAAATCTATGTAATGAACAGAACCACGTATTAATGAGGAAAATGACTGATAACTGAATTATATGCTCGTTCACAGAAGAGAGAAAAGAGTAAACAATCTAATAAAGGATTTTCCCCAGGACAGACTCCAGTTCAGCCAACGGGGTTCAGACAGTCCAGGGTGACAGAGGAATCTGGAAGAGACGCACCTTTCACTTTGTTCCTACTCGGGTGACAGTGTTAAGAAAGCACATGCGGTGTGCTCCAGACCCCAGGGACGGTGAGCTCACAGCCATGACCAAGCACGTGACGTGCTGGTGCTGGACCTGCACCTGTGGGCGCCCCAAGGCCGAGGCTCTGCTTTGCTGCCCTGGAGGGACGCAGGACGAGCGGCCGCCACTCCGGGACAACAGCACAGAGGGCAGGCGGGAGAGCGTGCCGGGAAGGACGGTGCCCCATGGTAATGGCTCCCTGTACAGGGGCCCAGCCCAGGGTCAGACTTGAGACATGGTCTGAGCCACCCGCCCACTGGGTGAAACACCACCAACAGCGATGGGCAGTCAAGGCCCGAGTCCTCTATCTGTTCACTTCTAGGTGTGTTTTCTGAATTCCCCACAGTGGGCACGCACTGCTTACACAAGGTGAAAAGAACAACCGCACCCACAGGCACCTGCCCTGCATCCGTGCAGGGCGAGTGGTGAGTGGGAGCGTGTGGGTGGGCACGGGAAGAGGCAGCTGCCCCACGTCTCCAGACCCGGGCAAGGTGGGGTCCTGGCTCCACCGCAGTGGCCCAGCCTGCGGTCCTGCAGCTCTGAGTGCTGTCTGCCAGCCCCTTCCCTAGCTAACTCCTCATGCCTTCACACCTCCCGAGAAACCTGCCCTCTGATGTGCTCCTGAGAACTGGGCTGCCCCCCTTCATTGCAGCTTTTGCCACAGAACGTCACTGCCTGCCCTGTCCAGCACTCCGTCCCATTGTGAAACACAGTGAGTGAAGAGGGTGAGCCTCGCTCGTGGCAAAGACCCTGCTATCTGGGGAAAAGAGGGCGGCAGCACCTCTGTGCAGGGGATACAACGCATTAGGAGTCCCATCCACAGCCCAGGCAGCTTTCACATGGGACTGTCACACCCTGACAGGGCAGTGAGCACCCCGGAAACCGTCAGGGAGTCAGGGGCAGGATGACCCAGGCGCAAAGCTCTCTGGTGCCCCTTGCTGGTCAGCTGACTCAGAGGGAGAAAGGGCCTAAACTGCCCGTGTGACTAAGTGCCCCCCACAGGGCAGCTGGGGCCTCTCAGACACGTCCTCATAGAACTACAGGGCTCCTTCTGGAAATCACGAGCACTTGAACACTAGAGCACAGGCAATTGCCTCAAGCCCTCAGGGCTGGCAGAGGGACAGTCGGGCTTTGACGGAGGGCATTAGCACATGTGAGCAGATCGTGCTGGTGAGGGGCTCACACAGCCCGGCACGTGAGCTGGTGTCCTCACACGGGCAGCTCTGAACAGCACACATGCCTCTGTGGGGAGCAACATATTGCCTAGAGAACTAGAGAAATGCCATTCCGTTCTCAAGCCAGTTCAAGTGCCACCTCCCTCCGTTTTGACACACATGGGTGGCAGGCAGCATGTGCCTGAGGGCAGCAGCCGGGCTCCCCAGAAATCTGCACCTACTGAAGCAGCTTGACTTCCTTTCTGAGCAACAAGAGGCTGAGAAGACGACAGATACAGTAACAGGGACTCAGGCTTTGGAGGCTTGAGGTGCAACAGTAACCAATGCGGCCAGGTAGCAGCCCAGCAGCCTCTAACCAGTACCGAGAGTCTCTGCAGCACAGTCCCTCGGATGGAAGGAGCCAAGGGGAGAAAACTGCAGAGCTCTCCTGAGACCACCCTGGGTTTCTACCTACAATGTGAACCCTCAGTAAAGATCGACATCCCTGTAGGGCAAGGCCCTGTCAAATGGCAGACAGCACATACCCCCAGCATGTATGCAGGCTTCATGTAAAATTACTTTTACACTGTTTACTTGGTAAAACTCTACCCATGTTCTTGGTAACTAGCGTTAAAGCTCTTAAATTCGAAAGGGTGCTGGTTTCAGAGAAAAGGGTCAGGAAAGTTACACAGTGGCTATTACTCTACAAAGGCAGCCAAGCGGCCAAGAACCCAGGGGGCAAATGGGGAAAGGGAAGACAACCAGCCACCCAGTAGGTGCAGTTTTCCAGGGAGCCCGGCTGCTGCCCTCAGGCACATGCTGCCTGCCACCCCTGTGTGTCAGAACGGAGGGAGGTGGCGCTTGAACTGGCTTGAGAACGGAATGGCATTTCTCTAGTTATCTAGGCTTCATGTAAAATTACTTTTACAGTTTATTTGGTAAAACTCTACCCATGTTCCTGGTAACTAGCATTAAAGCTCTTAAAATTCAAAAGGGTACTAGTTTCAGAGAAAACGGTCAGGAAAGTTAGACAGTGGCTGTTACTCTACAAAGGCAGCCAAGTGGCCAAGAACCCAGCGGGCAAATGGGCAAAGGGAAGACAACCAGCCACCCAGGGGAGATGGAGATGAGGAAGCCAAGGGGCTCCTATGCCCAGGCCTCCTGTCCCTGTGGCAATGGACCAGACCCTGCCAGTGTCAGGCGCCCAGAAGTGTGTCTGCAGCTCAGACTCAACTACCGCGTGTAAGGCTGGGGGCGCTTCATGCTACTTCTTTTTCCTGAAAAACAGGGCTAACTGCCAGTGCCAGCAGTGTTGTATGAAATGCTATCATTTTATAGAAACTGTACTGCCTTCCAAGAATGGCACAGGAAATGGGCTTTACTGTTCTGTGACCCAGATCACTTGTCACAAAGTTGCTCAAGTGCATAACTTGCAGAAGAAACATCCAGATTAAAACTGGCACCCCAATGCCAGCATCCTTACCATTAAAGAAGTCTGCATGGACTGCCTTTTCATTGGCTGCCAAGTCCATCAGGAGCCCGGTGCTGCCTCCGGCCTGGGGAAGGGAAAGGGCAAGGTTGTGTCAGTGGCACTTTCAGAGACAGCCGTGATGAGAGCCTCGTGGGGCCCCCACACTCCGTGGCAGAGGAAGGGGAGGGACTTTCTGGACCCACGTCAGAGCCAAACTCTGGTTCCAGGGGAGAAGGTGGGTGGGGTGGGGGTGGAGGAGGGGCACTTGAGGGATTATCTGCAGTCTCCGGGTCTTACATTCCTGGATCCCTCCCCGACTTTTCAGTAGTCCTGCCACTGCCCCGCACTTCTCTGAAAACCTCTGGTAGAGCTCTAACTCCCTGCTGGATGGGATGCTGCCGCGGAGGCCCCGGATGAGGGCGTATCAGCCTGGCGCACTGATCCCTGCTTTTCTGAGAATCCAACCATTTCCCTTGCCGACCGAGGGCTCTGGTGGGGCTGCCAACGCAGGAGCTCGCACTGCCACAAAGCTGGAGGCAGCAAAGCCATGCCACAAGCCCAGCTGGGCGACCTCACGCGCTCTGGATTCTGAGTCTTTTACGGTCACCCGGTGATGGTCAGGCAGAGTCCTCCGAGGTCACCACCCCAGAACACAGGCCCAGAGGTCCCTGCTGCGGCCCGGACTCCCAATATTCCCCGGGCTGTTTGCTCTCAAGTAGCTGAGCATTTCCCGTGTTCCCTTCCATGTCTGCTCTCAGCAACCTCAGAGAAAGGCCCAGAGCCTCCGACTCCTCCCTGTGCCCCCAGCCTGCCTCCCTCCTCCCGTTACCATAGAGAGCCGCGCAGATCCCACCGTTTCCGTAGCCTGTTGCGTTGGTCCTATTTCCATCTCCAGGTCCTGCCTTCACTCAGACCCTCAAGCCTCCTGCTCTCCTGTTTGCCCCCGAACCCAGTCCCCGAGCTCTCCAGAACGACCACGCTCTGAAGCGAGCCAGAGCCTGTCTCCCCCCGCCGTGAAGCCCTCCAGCCATTCCACACCGCCTGCGGGCTGAGACGCCGGGGTGGGGCGGAGGGCCTTCCGGAGCGGGCGGCACGGCTGGACTGCCTCCTGGGCGCCCCTGCCACCTTCTCCAGCTGCGCCCCCTCGCCTCGGCCCCCTAAGGCCCTCGGTGTTAAACTCCACGGCAGCCCCTCCCTTTCGGGGACCCCACCCCTGCCGGGCCTTCCTCCACCCTCGTGGACGTGGCAGACACCGGCTGTGGGCGGCAGCGGGCGGCCCCAGGGCCCCAGGGCGCTTCTGCCAAGGCTTCTCCCACCGTCCGCCACACTCAGCACCGCAGCGCTCAGGCCCCGCCACGCCGCGATCTCCGGCGGCAGGCGCGCTGGCCTCCCCGGCTGGGCTTGGAGGGAGAGGAAAGGAGGCCCGACGCCCGCGCGGTGGTGGCACCGCTCCCGAGAACACCAACGCCAGGGATCACCCGCGCCCGGGACGGGCCGAGACAAACGCAAGGGCGCCTCGCAGCCTCTTGTGGCTGCGGAACAGGGCCCCGCGCCACGCGCACAGGCGCCACACGCCCGCCCCCGCAGCCCCCGCAGCCCCCGCTCCGGCCTCGCGCTCGGCTCCCGCAGGGGGCACGACGCCCGACCGGGGAGCCCCAGGCCCGCGGACAGCGCCGCCACCCCGCCCCGGCTGCTCGGGCCCGCCTCCGCTGCGTGGAAGGCCAGGGGCGCGGGAGGAGGGCGCGGGCCCGCAGCCGCCGCCTCACCTCGTCCAGGTCCACGTAGGGCCCCGCGCCCTCAGGAAACATCTCGTCCACGGCCGGCTTCATCTCCTCCCGCGGCGCCCCAAGCGTCCTGGCTCACTTCCGGGCCGCCGCCGCTTCTTCCGGTGCGCGCCCCGCCGCGGCAGGTCTAGACTCCGGAGGCCCGCCGACTCTATGGTTCCCCCTCTCCAGCGCCGGCCGGGTCGGCCAGGTCCGCCGCCCGCCGGTCAGCTAGGGAGGCTGCGCGGGGACCCCGTGGGCGTCCGCAGGGGCGGACAGGCCGGCCCACGGGGCCTGCGCACGGAGGTGCCCCAGAACCCCCAACACGGAAGCGAACGGACAGAGAGAAGAGTCAGCCCACAGACGGGAGAAAATACCTCCGGGTGGTGTGTGTCTGGCACGGGGCCGATGTCCGGAGAGAGAACCGAAGACCTCAGCAGCCAGACAAACGTGCCGAGTCAAAACTGGGCGAAGGGCTCAGGGACGTTTCTCCGAAGCGGACCCACGAGTGGCCACTAAGCCCGTGGAAAGATGCTCACCATCCCCGGCTGTTAGGGAAACGCTCGTCAAACACAAGGGGCCGCCACCCCACACCCGCCGGGCCGCTGCTAGCGCGGCGTGGTCTCGAGGAGGAGGCGGGGAATCTGCAAACCTGGTGCACGGGCGGGGACATGGAGCGCGGCAGCACGGGTGCACGGCTGGAGGACAGTGTGGAGGGCCTCGGAAGCTAATCACCGGGTGGCCCAGCCATCCCCCGGGTCTGCACCCCAAAGGGCTGAAAACACACACCTGTTCAGAGCAACACTGTTCACCGTAGCTAAGATAGGGAAGCAGCTCAGATGCCCCTCCACATTTGAGTGGATGAGCAAAGTGCTGTCTGTCCACACAGTGAAATACTATTCAGCCTTAAAAAGGAATGAAATTCTGACCCTGCTCCAACACAGATGAAGCTTGAGGACATTATGCTGAGTGAAATAAACCAGCCACAAAAAGACAAATCTTCTATGATTCCACCCAAATGTTGCTCCAAAAGTCAGATACATACAGACGAAAGTAATCGTGGGGACTGGGGCTGGGGGAGGGAATGGGGAGTCAGTGGTTAACAGGCACCAAGTGTCAGGTGGGGACCATGAGACAGTCTGAGATGGATGGTGATGGCTGCACACCCTGGGAATGCACTAATGCCACTTAAACATAGATGATGGTAAATTCTATGTTATATGTATTTTATCATAATTTTAGAAAGAATGTGAGAAGGAGGAGCCCACAGAGAGGCAGCTAAGCTTTGTCCTTGAATTGAAGGCTTTCCCTAACCAGGAAGGTGAAAATCCCAGTGGTACATAAATGCTCACATGCGCACATGAATCAACGTGCAGTTTAACCCCCCTGAAATCCTGCTGTATTGTCTTTTGTCTGGTATGTTTGGTCCAGTCCCAATTGTCCCCAGTGGGAATTTAAGACAATCCTCAAGCCCAGCCATTGTACGAATCAGGATTTTTTTTTTTTTTTTGGCAGTTTATTTACAGAAACCAAATTCAAACTACCTCAAGGGAGGAAAAGAAAGAGACAAAGAATGTATTGGCTTTTCCCAAAGTGACTGGCTGAACTAACCCAGTACTTCCCCTGCAGAGTTCAACGTGGGACACTGGAGAGAGGGTGCAGATTGGGGGCAACAGGACAGATAGGCAGGGGAAGCCTGGCTGGAGGGGGCAGAGCAACCCCCCAAGGTGCGGCTGCCTTTCCAGGTACCTCCCAGCCCGGTGGGGTGTCTGGGCCCTCCTGAGAGTCCCCTTTGTCCCTAGGGTACCTCTCCTAAACGCCATCCCTCCTGACTGACATACCAGCGTGAATCTCACTCCTCAGCAGAAATTGCCTCTGTCACTTGAATGACCGCCTGCCAAACCTCCAGGCACTCACAGGATGAAATCCATCTCCCGTCACATATTTCCACCCAAGTACAATGTGTAAAACATTAATTCCACAAAACCCTATGTATTTCTTATTATAGGTAGGTGCTAGTTCAAATACAAGTATCTATGTCTAAATAGAGAGTACCTTTTATTATTTTAAAGGAAAAGCTGGTTGCAGCCATTCAACCAACTTCTTCACCATCTGATGAGGTCTGGCGTGCAGGGTGTCCAGCTCCTGCATCAGGGGCCTTCCCCTTGCAGACTGAGTGCCCCCAGGCCCCTTGCCGTCCCTCACAGACGGGGCTCCTGCCCCCCTGATGTGAACCGCCCTCAAGGGCGTGCTGAGCATGAAGGGTGGTGGCTGCAGACCCGCTGCCACCCAGCCCAGTGGTGAAGAGCAGGACTGCAGGGTGTGGCCGCTTGGATGGGGTACTGGATCCCCGCCCCAAGGCAGGCAACTACCTCGTGGTGGTCTGCTTCAGTGTCCCCACCTGCACTCCAGGGGGCCTGCAGCACCCCTCCTGGGGCCCTGCAAGGCTTAGATGCCAGGTGAGAGGCGAAGCAGTGAGTCCCGAGCCAGAGCCGTGGCCAATGCTCTGTGGGCAGAAACCGTGTGTGCTCAGAAGGGGGCACTAGTGGGCAAAAGGAGCCAGGCTAATTTAATGTCAAGGAAGGAAAAAAATGGGTCCCGAGCACAGCTGTGTCTTGAAAGAAAACAACAAGTGTCTGTTGTGCATTTTAAGTCAGGAGTTTATTTAGTGTGAGGCCAGGCCCAGCTCCCCAGGAGGCACCAGGCGGGGGGATCGCTCACTCCTCCTGGTAGGGGACATGGAAGCCCAGGGCGGTCCCCAGGGGGAAGTGAGCAAAGAAGGTGCGGGCCATGTCCTCCATCTGCGGGTAGGCCCCCAGAGTCTGGAAGTACTGCACATAGTTCCAGAAGTCAGAGGTGGAGAAAGGCCAGGAGGGCATGGCGGGCAGCTCGGCATAGGGGTCTGAAAGACACACGACAGCCTGCCTCAGGGGCCCCGGCCGGTCCTGGAGACCCTGCGCAGGGAGGGAGCGCCGCGGGGAGGGTGCAGGCAACCCAGTGGGATTTCAGAGGAGGCCACAGCCCCCAGCCCTGGAGTCTGGGCTCTCCTGCACTGAGGTAGGCTCTGGAGGGAGCACCCCAGGTGATACAGTCTGGAGGCAGGAATGCCAAGCCAGGGCTCGGAGGGCCCCTCCTGCCTGGTGTGTCCCCCGGTGGCTAGCGGGCAGGCCTAGGAAGGGGCCCCAGTCCCTCTGCCTGCTGCCAGGTCTCCTGCCTCATCCGCTCCCACCAGCTCCCTCTTCTTCTCCCAGACTCACCAGACACACCCCAAAAGAAGAAAGAATACGATACCTCCCTCCTCCTGCACAGGCTTGGCCCCTGCTGAGAAGAGGGAGCAGTCACCCCGGGGATCCCCAAGGTGGGGCCCACCTCAGCCCAGCTCCCAGGTGGCCAGGAGGCAGTGGAGGGGCAGGGACAGAGCTGCCCTCACCTGCCAGAGTCCCCAGCAGGAGGCAAAGGGCCATCCCAGGTGCCAAGCAGGGGCTCATCTTCCCGGGTGCGTCCCGACGACTCAGGTGCCTCAAGTGTGCCTGCAGCAGGAGGAACCCGGAGGGTGAGGCCCCCTCCCTACAGCCCTGGCTTCCTTGCACCCCCTGGCCAGGGGCAAGTCCTGGGGAAACAGCCGGGGACGAGGGAAGACAGGCTTAGTGTTTTCACAGCAATTTCAGTCCCAGCGGCCTCAGATCATTATTCAGGGGCTAACCCAGGCTTCAGGCCTCATTTAATTTTGACAATTTTAAAAACGGTGCCCCCCACCTGCCCGAGGGCACAGTCTGCCTCCCCAGAAGTTACCCTCAAGTCCTGTCCACTCAGCGCCAGCCGTGCAGCCCGGGGGTGTCTGCTGCCAGCACACAGACTCCTCTTTATAAAAGGCCAGGGACACAGATGCAGACGTCACCCACGTGAGCTGTCAGGCTGTGTCTTATCCCCAGCGGAGGACCGAGGGCTTCTGGAGCCCTGCTGGCAGCAGGATCGCAGGAGCCGCCTTCAGGAATGCGATCCGAAGATCCAGCCGGGAGGAAAACATGTTTGCCCAGCCCATGTCTACAGCTTTCAGGACTGAATTCAATTTTGGGACTCGTCTCCACCAGGAAAGAAAGACGTTCTAAGGTTGCACTGGGGCTGAGAGCCCCTTACGGGATCAGGGGGACCGCAGAGCTGCCCTGGGGCAGGCAGGCAGGGCGGGACCCTCAGGGAGCCACGGGCCCTGGATCTGTGGCCCCTGCCACCAGGACACCATTGAGCAGGGAGTGTGGGCGTCCAGACAACTCCCCATCTGCACCCCCAAGCCTTCCTGCTTCTCAGTGACTGGGTGTCCCCAGCCCCCGGACTCCACAGGGACACCAAGGTCCCATGGGTAAGGCCACTCTGATCATGCCTCTCAGCCCTGCCCCGTGGGTTCCCATTGCCCATCGAATCCAGGGGCATGTCTGGGACAGCCCCACTGTCAGGGTCGGGCACCATGTGGTCACCGTATCACCCTGAAAACCCAGACTCTGCCAAGTAGGCCCATGCCAGCGCCTCAGGCTGACCCCTAATGGTGTCATCTCCACCCGGCCTGCCCCACACACGCGCTGGGTCTCTGACAACACAAGTGGGATGTGGTGCCAGGACATCACTGGGCCTTCTTGGGCAGTTGTGCCAGGGGTCCCAGGACTACCTCAGGCTTGCAGGGGGCTCCCAGGACTCACTGGGATGGAGCAGAAATGGCATAAAGCCCAGCAAAGGGAAAGGTCTTGGGGAGAGATTGGGAGACCGGGCATGAGCTTCCAGAACCCCTCCCCTGGGGTCACATGGGACTGGCCTCATTTTCCCACGTGTGGGTGCAGTCCACCGGGGCAGCCCATCAGAGACGCAGACCCAGAGTGCACTGGGGCCGGTCGAGGGGGGCCCTCTCCTCTGCTTGGGAAGAGTCCCGATGCCCCAGAGGAAGCAGGCACTCGGCACCCCCATGCTTTGCTCAAGCTGGAGGCACAGCAAGGTTGCTCCTCCACGTAGGGCTGCAGCCAGGGATGCCAACTCACAGGGGCCCTGCCCAGGGGCTATGGGCCTGCTTGTCACCCGCATCAGCACAGCCTGGGAGCTTTCTTGCTCCCTATCTGTCCCCTGGGCAGGGATTTTAAGCTCTGAGCTCATGGTTTTCTTTTCCCAAATTCTCCAGCATCCTTGGGTGCGACCCGCCAGCCCCACAGTACTGGCTGTGAATGTCCACTAAGTGGCCAACAGCATCAGCCTCCTGGCTGCCCAAGGCCTCCAAGGGGCTTGGCTCCGTGACCCCATCTTGCACTTCATGCCGTGGGCTGCAGTGCCCCCCTGCAAACAGCCCATTCTGTGGGGCCAGAGGACAGGTTCCTCTGGTAACCAGGGGAGGTGTGGGGCTGGACGACAGGGGGTGCAGGACAGCAAGGATCAGCTGGGCGCCACCACCAGGCTTCACCGAACAGTCGTCCATTACGCACAAGTCCGTGTTTGAAGATGATGCACAGTTGGTTATTCCCGTGTTAGGGAAAATGAAATAAAATTACATGTACTGTATCTTTGTAACTATTTATTCAACAAAAAATCTGTACCTAGAAAAACTCTACAGGTGATAAGCAGTGAGGGTGCTGAGTGGTGGAGCAATGGGTGTGTATGTTTTTTCTTCTTTCTGGGTGTATATATATGTGTGTGTTGTGTCTGTGTGTGTGTGTGTGTGTGTGTGTGTGTGTGTGTGTGTGTATGTGTCCTTAATTTGTTATTTTTATGTAGGGGGAAAAAACTGGCAACCACCTTACTCAGCATCCTCATGTCCAGTCCCGGATCTGCCCCTCGGGCCTTCTGTAGCCACCTTACCGGCCCCTTGCCACCCCCACGCCTTTTCTCTCTTTCTGATCCTGCCGCCCTCCCTCGCTGGCCTGCACACAGACCTTTCCTGGTCCCACCTGGAGACCCTCTCCACTGCCCCTGGGGACCACCCCTTCACCGCCTTCCCCAGCAACCCTGGGAATCTGCATTCCTGACAAGTTCCGGGGGATGCCATGCTGCTGGCCCCCAGAGCACATTTAGGGTAACAAGGCATGGGCAGGTCCTCAGCCTGGACAGTGTCAGAATCACCCAGGGCACATGTTAGAATGCGGATCCCTGGGCCCACACCTCTCAGAGTTACGATTCAAGAGCTCAGGAGTGGGCCTGGGACTCTGCACTTCTATCACACTACCAGGGCTGGTGAGCAGGGGCAGGGCCTGGTTTTCAGAGCCACTGTCCAGAGCAGAGGGCTCAGCCCCGGCTGCATGGCAGGATCACCTGCAGAGCCTTCAGGTGGGCGGAATTCCCAGGCCCCCTCTCCCCCCAAGGTGGGACTCTGATGCGAAGGACCAGCTGCAGGGACGGGCCCAGGCCAGTGTCTGTCAGCCTCCGGGGGGTCTGCTCTGTGGCCTGGTTGACTACCACTGCCTGGGAGGTGGGTCAGCGCCCTGGAGCCTGACCCGCCCCCGCCCCACAGACGCCTCCGTGTGGCCGCACCGGAGGCCCCTGCAGGCCCCCTGAAGGCCCCTCCTGTCCGTGATGAGAAGCTGTGGAAGCACAAAGCGGTCTTGTGCACAGACAGGGCAACACACCCCATGTGCCTCCGGTGCTGGCTGCGCAGAGGGGCGGGAGGGAGGCAGCCAGGGCGGCGGGCCTGGGAGCCTTCCCGGCGCAGCTGCCTCACCTAGACCAGGGGAGGAGGGGGAGGTCTCCCAGCCAGCCGCAAAGATACTCCCATTAGGCGGTCTCGGGGCGCCCCCTGCTGCCCGGTGCGGGGTACGCCAAGCGCAGCCTCTGGCTGAGGTCACCGGTCACCAGCAGACACGCCCGGGCCGGGAGAGGGAGCACCCCGCCCACCTCCCGTCTCCTGGGCAGGGCCCCTTGGGTCGCAGCCCTTTCGCTGTCCCCACAACAGCCGAACCCTTGCTCACCGTTAAGTCCTAAAGCCATACGGGCTCCCACACACTGCTCCCCTGCGCTCTGCTTCCCGGGGCAGCCTGGGAACCTCAGCCCTGGCTGCTGGCTTGCTGGGGTCTCCTCTGGCCAGCCTGCCTTCCCGGGCGGCTTCACCCTCATTTGCTGCCCCCTCCTGAGCCCCGGAACTTTGCCTCCTCTGGAGCCACGGTGGCCAATCGGTCCCATGTCCTCAGTCCCAGCAGGGACACTGCCCTCTTGCCTGGCTATGTTCTGGCCACTTCCTTTCTGAGCCTGTGTCTCCTTGTACCCAAGTGTCCCAGGCCTGGAGTGAGTCCTGGCCCCGGGCGGGTGTGCTTGGTGAGGGTGCTGATGGACGGAACACAGGTCAGGCTAGCACCCTGCAGGCTACCCCCTCGGCTGTCCTGGGGTGTCCAAGCCAGCCCCTGGCTGCACTGTCCTCCAACCCACAAACCTGCTGGCTCCCGCAGCAGGAGGGGACGGCCTCTCACAGCCACCCATCTTTTTCCCAAACCCACACATTCTCACTGTTCTCATCACTTCAAGGAAACGATTGAATTGCATATCATGAAATGCAAAGAACGTGAACAGAGTTTTGTGGATGAAAGTACGTTTGTCTTGGAAAGACCCTCTCAAGGTGAAACTACTAGAAACTGCCGTCAGGTTAGATGTGAGCATGACACCGCTGAAGACAGGAGCCAGAGTCTAAGAACCGGACCCACCCTTCGACCTGGTCGGGGATCCCAAGCGGAACCACGGCGCCGCCAGGGAGCGGGCTCCAGGGGGCGCCCTTCCCACTGGAATCGTGCACCTGCGCCCGGAGGGCCCGCGCGCCCGGAGAACAGCTGGCCCAAGGCCTGCAGGCTGAACCGTCTAAGGCCCCTGCGATTCTTCGTGAACATCACTCCCTTCTCCAGCTGATCGTGGGAATTTCTGACCAGGTTCCAGTTCCACCCACGAGAAGGCTTCTACCTGGCCTGGGTGGAGGGAGTCGGCAGGGCAGTGGAGGCCGGCCTGTAGCCCAGGACAGCAGGGTGCCCTAAAACTAAAATAGGTTCATGGACGATCTGAAATCCCAATCTCACTGAGTGACCTGCGTCTTTATTTGCTGAATCTGAACATACTGTGCAGCGCAGCGCCCGGTGGCCCAGCCTGGCACACCCACACCCAGGCTCCAGCCAAGAGCCGAGGCTGTGGGCACAGGCTGGCGTGGGATGGGGCCATGGCCCTGGAAGTGGAGTCCACAGCAGGGCCTCTTCCATACTCCCTCCCGAAGCTGAAGGGCTGCAGTCCTTTTGCAGGACAGGCAGGCAGGCTGTGGCCTGACCTTCCCCGGCCAGCGAGGCGCCTGGCCCAGCTGGGCTCGTCACAGGGGGCAGGATGTGGGCGATGTGGGCGGTGCCTGGATCCCGCCTCACACCCAGTGCTGGACAACTCGCACTAGGGCCCGAGTCTGAGAACCAGGGTCTCCTTTCCGGAACTACTCCCTGGGAAGGCAGCCCAGGGCCGCAGCACCACCGTGGTGCAGGGATCACGTCCAAGGCCAGAGGTTTGGCCCTGGGCAGGGGGTGGGGGGGGCAGGAAAGGGACCCGAAGGGAGAAGCCCCAGTGCCCACTCAGGAGAGCCCCTCGCTCCCCCCCTCCTCCTTCCAGGGTGACACCCCAGGAACACAGGCTTCATGGGTGTCTTTGTGAGGGCGCCTGCTCTCTCCGTGGGAAGCGCTCTGTGGCTCTGCTGCGCAGCCAGTGCCCCTCCCTGGGCATCTTCAGACCAGAAGGAAAAGTGTCTATCTGTTGTCCTCTGCCCCTGTTGGTTGGGGGTGGCCCAAGGGGGACAACTCCCCCACTCCAGGTGCAGGGTGCCCACCAGGTCCTGCAGGCGTCCAGTGCCAGGTCTCACAGGGGCACGGGGTACAGAGCAGCGGGGCTTCAGGGCTGGTCACCCTGCCCTCGGCTGAAGCTGACTTGGGTAGTGGAGAAGAGAGGTGGGCTCAGAGCTGCCCGGGACCTGGCTCTGCCTCAGTCCTGCAGGCCCACGTGTCCCTGAGGACACAAAGCCCAGCACTCCAGAGTCGACTCGGAGCAGAACCCAGTCTACACTCTGCCCAAGTCAGACTGCCGCGGCCTGCGGGCCAGAGCACAGGAAGCCTCAGGGGGCGTCCCGTGCCCCCCGTGTGCAGTGACACATGGGGCACCCTCCCGGATGACCCTGTCCCCGGTGTCCTCCACCCACGGAACCTGCTTCACCTGCTCCGGGCCTGGCACTGTCACAGCCAGTGCTCTCCGAGCAGTCCCTCTGTGCCAGGTCCCTCCGTGGCCCATCCTCAGAAACCCTGGGCTCCCCATGTGGTCAGAGCCCATCTTACAGGGGAGAAAACAGGTTTCCAGGTTAGGGAGGTGGGGGCCAGGGGCGGCCCCACAGGGAGAGTCAGACCACCTTCCTTCCTGTGCCATCACGCGCTGTGACTGGGGTGCACACCCATCCCCTCTGCAGAGTCTTGCTCAGAGGTCCTGGCTGGCCTAGGCTCTGGCATTCCTGACGCACCCCGGGCATCGCCATGCCACTGGTCTTCAAGGAGCTGCTGTGTCCAGCGGGCTGCCCAGAGAGAATCGCCGGCCCCTCCCAGGAAGCCCGTGCTCCTAGGTGCTGAGGGGACTCACTGCAGTGGTGCAGGCCACCCTGCCAGGTGTCTGTTCACACGGCCCAGAGGGCTTGTTAGTCATGGCTTTGAAACCAACTGAAGGGTGTAGACAGTGGCTGTGCCCTAAGGACAGCAGCTTCCTGGAGAGTCACCACGTTGAATTTGTCCCACTCTGGGTTCTAGGAGGTGACAGGCCATGGGGCCCACTTCCAGGCCTGCCTCAGTGAGAAAAGGAGGGAAAGAGGGGCAGGGGGAGGGGGAGGGAGGAGCAGGGGAGGCGGGGCTGGTGGGGTCCCTGGGGAGAGGCTCCCCCTCCTCAGGCCTGGCTCACAGGCCCCTGCCCAGCTCTCAGGTCCCCCTCCGCCAAGCTCCGCAGATGGGTGTAGGGTGTCCCCCCAGTGACAAGTGTGCGGCCGGTCTAGGGAGCCAGGCCTCCGAGGACCGACGGTGGGTCCCGGGGGGAGGCCGTCAAGGAAGGAACATCAAGACAGTCGGTCACCCGCTGCGTCTGAGCATTGGAAGTCTTGGTGGCATTTGACAATTGTGTTCAAGCATTTGGATTATAAATAGGAACATGGAAAACCAAGCTTTTAAAAAAACAATAAAACAAAAGCCAAGGAATACCCACCTCTGGGGAAGGCACAGAGCCGGAGCCAGCATCAGAGCGCCCTGCTCAGCTCGGCTGTGGGTCCTCTTCGCCGGTCACAGCGCTGTGAGGTGGGTGCTGGGGACTCGACCCAAACTTTGATGAGGCCGTGCTGGCAGGAAGGCGAAAGGCCACAGCAAGGATGCAACAGTCACGGTCTAAATCGATACAGAGACGGCTTCGTGAGGCACCTCCCCCAGCGTGACAAATCACCCCAAACCACAGCCCTGCTCTGCAGACGACCCTCGTCTCGCCGCCTGGGTGGGTCAGCAGTCCAGCCTCTGACTCGGGGTCTCTCAGCAGGGCGGGAGGCCGACTGGGGAGGGGTCCCTTCACCCACGTGACTGTGCACTGATGGCTGCTGGCTGGAGCCTCCTCTCCTCCTCGCCACACGGGCCTCCCCGGAGGGTAGTCTACACTGCAGACCTGGGGCTCCCCCAGAGCGAGGCCCTGAGCCCAGAAAGAGCACGAGAGAGGGCGGGCGGATGGGGGTCTCTGCGCCCTGACCTTGGAACTGGCACCCCACTGGCCGCTGTGCCTCGGTGCTGGGCCGCCCACGCTCCGGGGGAGACACAGGGCATGAGCGCCAAGGGCCACCGGGACCACAGGGCTGTGCGTCAAAGAGCTTCTCCAGAGAAACAGAATCAACAGGGTGTGTGTACGGCGAGCAGAGGGGGATTAACTTTAAGGAATCAGTTCACGAAATTGTGGAGGCTACCAGTGCAAAAACCACAGGCCGATGGCCAGGCCAGAGATGCAGGGAGGGAGTAATGTGGCAGTTTTAGGCCCAAAGACAGTTTGGGACAGGTTTTCTTTTTGGGGGACCTTGGCCTTTTCTCTTAAAGTCTTCTACTGATTGGACAAGGCCCACCCACACACATTATGGAGGGTCATTGTCTCGCCAGTGGGTTTCAGCCCTGGGGCAAGTTCACTCCTGATTCAATGAGACTGAAAAATGACCATGGAACATTCTTGGGGTGAAAGGGTTTATACCCAGCTTTATTCCCACGGTGGCAGGTCAACCACTAGAATCCTGTCCACTCAGAGCGAGTCTGCAGGCAGCAAGCCGGTCTCTGCCCCTGGGCCTCTCCGCCTCTGTCCTCGGCGCTGCCCCCCCCACTCCAGCCTCTCTGCTCTCCTGCAGCCGTGCAGCCCAGGGCCCTGGGTGGAGCTCTTTATGTAGAGTCAGTAATAACCTACTGCCCACACGTGTGCAGTGAGCAAGCCCACCAGGGCCAGGCGAGAATCCTGCCCATAAGAACTTCCATTTTCTCTACAGTCATCTGCTTTCATTTAGAAGTGTCTTCACAATAATGTCTAGACTGGTGTTTGAACAATCAGCTGGGCACTGTGGCCTGGCCAAGATGACACACAGAAAAAACCATCATTTCCAAAAAACAAATCCTGGAGATGAAAGTACAACACAGGGAATATAGTCAATAGTATTGTCCGAACTTTGCTGACAGATCTGTGGCGAGCATTTTGTAATGTGTGTAATTGTCGAATCACTGTGTTGTACACCTGAAACCATAATAATATTGTATGTCAACTATCCTCAATTCTTGAAAAAAAGAATGAATGAAACATCAAACCAGAACGGCAAATAACACCACAGGAAAACCAAAGGGAATGGAAGGAAATAATGAAGATAAGGACAAATATTGATTGAATCAAAAAGTGCTGTAATTCAAAAATTTGTTTTCTTGAAAGCATTAATAAAACCTATGAATCTCTGGCAAGACTGAGCAGAAGGAAAGACAAGACACAAATGACACCAAAAAACCCGGACTTGATATAGGGCCAGGTGTAAAGTGATGACTGAGTACCATGAACCTGTCAGTAAGGTTGCAGACATACATGAAGTGGGCCAGTTCCTAGAAACCTGTAACTGGGTACGACTGGCTCAAGAAGATAACCTAACCCACTAAGAGCTAAACACACAATCCTTTTATAGCTAATGGCCAGTGTGGATAAAGTGAAGGTTCCTGTGGCCGAGATTCCCACCTAGCCCTAGTCGGCTAGCTCACTACACACGTGTGGGCAATACATAATTATTGACTCGATATAAAGAGCTCTGCCCAGTGCTCTGGGCAACATGGTGGCATGGCTGCAAGGCTGCAGGAGAGCAGAGCAGAGGCTGGAGGGGTGGCAGCGCTGAGAACAGAGACTGAGACAACTGCAGGGCGGGTGTAGAGGCCCAGAGGACAGCTGTGCAGGCAGAGAGGCCCAGGGGCAGAGACCAGCTTGCTGCCTGCGGGCTCACTCTGAGTGGAAGGGATTCTAGTGATGGACCTGCCACCCTGGGAATAAAGTTGGGTATAAACCCTCTCACCCCAAGAATGTTCCATTGTCATTTCTTTGGTCTCATTGAATACATAGTGAACTTGCCCAGGGCTGAGACCTATTGGCAAGACACGGCCTTTAATCAGTGTATTAAAACCCCCACATGAAGAAAAAATAACCATGGCAAGGTGTAGACCTAGTCTCTGGAAACACGCAGGTGAAGCCCAGACGCACAGCTAATAGAGTTGAGCACAGGTGCTTCCGGGCGGTGAGGCAGGGAGGTGGGAGGCCAGCCAGGCCAGCCGCCAGCGTTTCTCCCCGCAGCTCTGGGTGTGGGGTGGGCGGCAGGGGCCCGCGAGCCAGGCAGGCTGGAGCTGAGGGAGGGTGGTGTGTGCTGAGGCCCTCCGCAAAACCTGTCCCCCCTGAAGCGGGGGCGGGGGAGGGTCAGGGCAGGTTGACAACAGGCTGGAGAGCGTGTGCTTGGCAGGACTTGGCCACCGGCAGGGAGAATGGGCAGTGGGGAGGGTTCCTGTACCATCTTGGCCTCTGGGGTTTGGGAGGGCCACTGTGTAGACATGGCCGACTCGCCCCCCCCATGCCTGCTCCCCAACATGCCCCGTGTTCCCCCAGGTAGGGCAGGCTGAGCACCACAGGCAGAGCCCGGAAGCCATGGGGGCCGACGGAGCAGGCGCTGCCCCTGAGGCGTCTGCTGGGCCGGCGAGTGGGCAGAGGCTGCCCCATGTATGAGGGTGTATGAGGGTCGGGGGGCAGCTGGGAACCACCACCCGAGGCCAAGGCTCAGCACTGTGCTCACGGACCGGCGGCTGGGGCACCACCAGCACTTCCTCCTGTGGTTGGCGAGGGGCCCTGCCAGCAGCAGACCCCAGGGGAAGGTGGCTCCCCTTCCCAAACCCAAGGGCATCTGTGTATGCAGGGCACAGAGGCCGGGCGGGTCTCAGGACCCGCGTGTTGAGGCTCCGGCCTGCGGGAGGGATCCCAGGCTGGGCCGGGTTCCCTGTGCCTGAAATAGATCCATTGTTTATCCCTATTCATTGCCACATAAAAGCCAGATTTATGGGAACCGCGGCTTTGCGTGTTTCTCAGCCTGGCGGAGGCATGTGAGCAGCACGGCCCAGCCCACCGCCCTCGGGGCTCCGGACCCCACGTGCCTGTGAGTGTCTGCGGGGAGCTGGGCACCAGCCGCCCGCTTCCTCTGGCAGGCTGCCCACCTGGCCTCCCCCCACTTTCTCTCCCCTCCCCGGTGTCGGTGCCAACAGCCTGATGAAAGAGCTGGTGCCTGTTTCACTCCTGGCTGGTTGTCCTGGATTCGCTGGTTCATCTAAGAAGCAGGTATTGTGAACGGTGATGTGGGGCCAGGAGGCTGGCGCTGGGCAGGGGTCCAGCTGGGCCAAGAATGGCATCTCAGAATTAAAGGGCTGGAAGTGCCTTTGAAATATGCGCTAAATCTGTCTCCCTGGATGGCTGCAGGCAGCCCGCCGACCTCCAGAGCAGAACCTCACCTCCCGCTTTGCTCCCAGGGAGAAGTCAGCCACTCCCCAAATAAGCTGGAGGAATAATGAGCACACACTGCAAATTGAGAAGTATTTTTAAGGTAAGAAAAGAAAAAAGATGATACCCCGTCCCCTCCCCTCCTCTGAGCAAATCCTCAGCATGAACAGCCTGGCATGGACAGACCCTCCCCATGCCCTGACTCCCACCCAGGGTGCGCTGATGTCTGGTGCTGCGTGAACAAGCTCAGACCCCACACGTTTGTCCAAACTGCATCTCCTCATTGATGACTCACTGATGACACAGCACAACGGCCAGGTCTCTAGATCAGATCTATCCATTCCTTCCAACAGCCGATCATCCTCTAGCAGGGAGCTTCTCAGCCTTGGCACGGGGGCCAGCCTGGCAGTGGGGCACCACTAGCAGCATGGCCACCACCCCTCAGGTGCCAGGAGCAACCGGAGTCAGGACCCCCCAAATGTCTCCACTGTCGCATGTCCCTGGGTCCAAACTGGGAGAGTCTGAGGCCCATGCTCGGCCCGAGCCACGTTTATCAGCGGCCCTGTGATAAACATCCCGGTGTCTCAGGGACCTTGTGAGTCTGTGCGACAACGTGGCAAACATCTTAAACCATATCTTATATTCATGGTTTTGCTTTATAGGATTGATTGCCACAAAGGCAGACTTACTTGAATTCATGCAGCTGCAGGGTCAGAACTGTGTGGACTTTTCCAGAGCTCTGGAAGGCCCTAGCCATTCGCTCACATAGTCACCTGGTTTTGTGCATTTTGCAGAAAACAAAAAACGAAACAAACCCTGATTATTTTACTGCCAACCAGTTAAGCCTATTGTCTGCTCTGCTGCCTGAAGCGCAATGGTGGGCTGGCTGTGGGGCTTGGGGACTGTGCAGGGGACCTCCTGCATGGGTTCTCAGGACACTTTATGGGGTCTACAGCCACTTACGGGCAGAGGTACGGCATCACTCATTGCCCTGGGATAGAGATGACCTTGAAGGAATAGTCCCACCCCCAGTACACTGCTCTCCTGGGCCAGTGACACAGGGGCCAGGACCAGAGGTCACGTCCCATTATGAAGTCTCCACATGGCGCCTGGTACCAGAAGTAAGTGTGGGTGGAGGAGCTGGACGCGCATACAGCCGGAAGCTGCTCCGGAAAACCGTTCCAAGTGGAGGATTCCATCCCCACCTCTGGGCTGGCAAAACGCAAGCCCTCTCCAACCACAGACCGCATGTCAGGGTTCATTTCTGGGCGGTCCTGACTGGGCCAGGGAGGAGGGGAGCAGGCAAACATCGCCTCTGGGCGTGCCTGGGTGTGCCTCAGTGGGCATGCCTCAGAGGAGATAGCTGGGCTGAGTAACGCAGGTGGGGGTGGCATGCCCTCCGTGGGGGCCCCCAGAGCAGGAAGGTGCACCCAGGAGCATCTGCACCCTGCTGGCTGGGGCAGCCCCCGGCTCCGCCCTCGGTCACCAGTCACCTGCTTCTCAGGCTGGGGACTTGGACTGCATGTCAGCTCCGGCATTCCTGGTTCCCAGCCCGCAGGCCACTGACTGGTGCACTCGGTGCTCAGACACCCGCCACCCACTTCCTTCTCCACTGGGAGAGGGCAGGATAGAGCTGTAGAGGCCTTGGGTCCACAGGACAGACACACGGAGCAAACTCATCATGGGACTCCAAAGGCAGGGGCCCCTGTCTGAAGCTCCATGGGCACACGGCCGTCCCAGCACCGCACCTGGCCTACCCCACACATCAGCCCAGTCAGTCTGGCGGCTGCAGACGAGAGAGGGTGCACAAGGTGCCGTGGGGTCACTGGTCAGGCCACACGTCACATAATCCACCCTGGGGACCCCAGTGCAGGTGTCTTAGGAGAGGCACTTATGCTGAGTCCCGGAGTCGGCCTCCAGAATGTCCTGCAAATCCAGTGGCTCTTGTCCCTCCTGCCCCAACCCCACACAGAGCCTGTAGCCTGGAGAGCACCTCGCTTTCCCCTAGTGCCTCCCACCAATCTGACAAACACCCATCCTCACCCTGAATCTCTCCACACGTGAGGGTCTGGGATAGAACCCCAAACCTCTGCCCTGCCTGCCTCTCCCCTCCCTCGGTGCCTCCCAGGCTCACCAGACCCACCAGTCTCTCAAGCACAGAACTGACCATGTGTCTGGTCCAGGGGTCAGGGGGTGGATGGCCCAGGACCCCAAAACCGACCAGGGTTTCGGGGCCACCATGGGGTCTTGGGGAGGCTGGTGGCACGTGCTGGGGGTTATTCGGAAACACTAATCTGTGTGCATCTGCACCAGGAGCCCCGTTGTGCCTGAAAACACCCCAAGGCTCAGTGCACACAGGAAGAGCATCAGTGAAGGCAGTTTTCATGGTGTCTGTAGTAAATGCTGTAAAGTACTTTGGTCTAATTTGTGACTTTTTTGGTAAGAAATTGTTTATCACACGTTGCATTTCTATTGAAGTCATGCCGTCTTTTGCTCAGTTCACATGCAGTGGGCATCCATGACCTCAGGGGCACCCCGGCTCGGGAGGGCCTGGCTGCCAGTCTGCAGAAGCCACAGTGGCATCTCCCGCCTCATGAATACGTGCTTCTGCTTGTCAGGGCTTGTTTGCGGCTGCTGGGGCACTAGGACCCATAAATGTGCACAGGTCCCTTGGCAATAAAACTGGTTATGACTGGTGACCTCAGGTTGCGTGGCCACACGTCCTTGCCACCCTCCAGCTTTGCCAGCCGTCCCCCGGCCCAGGGTGGCTGCCCACACCTGCCTCCTCTGGCCAAGGCGGCCCCTGCAGGCAGCTGGGTGCTGTCTGTCTTCATCCTCACCTTCTGCGCTGCTCAGCCTCTCTTTACACTGTTCCTCCAGGGGGTTTGGCCACTGTCTGCCCCCAAAAGGTCAGCCCTGTGGGAACAGGCCCGGGCCTGGCTTGCCCACGGCAGTGTGGAGTGAGTGATGGACCACAGTGAGGACAAGGCCACAGGCAGGCAGGAGGAAAGGGGGGGCAGTCTGAGCACCAGGGCTGGCGCTCTGGGCCCCCTTGAGGTGGGCACGCTGACCCCAGGGCACACGAGGTGTCCCTCACATTGGAGTGACTGCAGAGTCCAGGCTTCTTAGGAGACAGAGCCTCAGGGTGCCACAAGGACACCAGAAGTAGGACTTCAGCGCCTGGGCCACGGGGGGCAACAGAGACGTTGCATGTGTGCTCAGCCAGGGCAGGGGACATTTCTTCCTCTTTGACGGGAAGGATGAGCCTGCAGCAGCCATACCTATGGGCCGAGCACGTGGGCAGGCTCTGGAGGATCAGGGGAGGACCCACGGAACCAGCCACCAATGTATCCTCAGATGATAGAATCTTCTGGAGCAAGGTTCAGGTTCGCAGGGAAAGGAGGGTCCTCAATGGCCAAGGCTGGAAGTGTGCTGCAGGGAATCAGCCTGCCCCCCACTGTCCTTGCCTAGAGTGTGTGTGTACTTGCACACACAATCACATACACACACACAAATGCACACACACGCGAACACATGTGTACACACATGCTCAAATTCATGACTGCACTTACACACACTTGTGCATATATTCGCACACACGCTCTTGAGCAGACATACTCATGTACACACCTATGTACATACCTATGCACGCACACACACACACACACACACACACACACACACACCGTCCCGCCTGTCCCCTCAAGAAGAGCCCAGCCTCCCTGCATCAGTTGATTCTTCCGTGTAGTGACACCAGGGTGTCCTCGTCACTGGGCCCTGTCCTCAGGCACAGAGCAAGTCAAGGGCCCCACTGAGCCAGGCAGAGGGACCCAGGCACTGCCCCGCGAGCCAGCCCCCAGCCCCAGCTCAGGGTGACAGAGCTGCTTCCCACCTACATGCTGTGTGCAGCCCCCTCCTGAGCTCCTCGCTGCTCTTTGTCCTCCTTTGACAGGTGTCCTGCCTCCCGCGGGGGTCTTGGGTGGCCTTCGGAGATGGCTCACTGGGCCTCAGCAAACTGGCTTTCAGGGAATTGATTTCTGGTGAATTGCCTAGCGGGTGGCATGGTGACTGATGGCCTCATTCTTGATGAAGCCTGAGACTGGCTTTCCTCCTGGAGTCACCAGGCAGGGCTGGAGAAGGGGGCCTGGGGCCGGGGTCACCCATGGCAGGAGGTTCCATGCCCAGCTGCCGTCAGCACCCTCGGCCCACCCCGGGGCTGTACGCAGCAGTTTTGATGTGAGTCACAGGTGGTCACCCGCAGAACCAGGAATGGGGGTGGGGTCATCGGGGCTGGTGAGGGCCGAGGCTGGGCCCTGGAAGAGCCTCAGAGCAGAGAGGGAGTGGACGCCAGAGACAGGAGGGGGTCTGCGGAGATGGCCACTGCAGGTCAGAGCCACAGAGGCAGAGCCTTCTGGGCACAGCTGTGGGAAGGGGCAGCAGAGGAAAGGGCCTGGGGTCAGGACAGCAGGATTTTTAAGGGAGGAGGTCAGCCTTGGAGGGTAAGGCCCTGTGCAGGCCCTGGTGCAGAGGGCGGGATGCTGAGCCTCGTTCTGCTGCCAGACCAAGCACCTGCCCGACCCGTGAGTGACCATGCCCCAGAGGCCTCTGCAGGAACAAAGGGTTGAGCATGGGGCAGAAGACAGCGCCTCCCGCTTAGGGTTGAGTGGTGTCCCCAGCATGATACGCTGGACCCCAGCTCTGCAGCTCCTAGTCCAGGGCTTTATTTTGGGAATAGGGTCATTACAGATGTAATTAGTCAGGGTAAGATGGGGCTACCAGGAGATGGGGGGGGCCAATGCAATATGACTGCTGTCCTTTCAAGAAGAAGGACATTTAGACAAGGATACCCAGAGGGAGGTCCATGTGGAGACGGAGGCAGGTTGGAGACATGTGGCCACACGCCACAGAATGCCCGGGGCCATCTGAAGGTGGGAGAGGTGGAAGGACCCGCCCCAGAGCCTCCGGGGGGAGCGGGGTCTTTCCAACACGTCGGCCTTGGACTCTGGCCTCAGAACTGCAGGAGAATGTTTTCTGGTCGCTCTCAGCCCCCCGCCTGTGTGTAGCAGTCTCGGGAGATCGATGCCCCTCCTGTGCCCGGGGGAGCCCCCACGTTTAGGGGCTGTACCCCTCCTCAGGCGTGCAGCATTCTCTGAGCTGGCTGAGGGGGACTCGGCCCAGAAGGCGCTTCTTCTTCAAGAGGCGACTCAAGCCTTCTCCTCCGTGAAGCCGGCCCTGGCCACCCGGCCAAGCCTGGAAGCGCTCGGCACCCAAGTGAGCAGCCGTGGGTGAGGGTCGTGGAGAGGCAGGAAACCGAGTCACACGGACCTGAATAGGTGAGCTCACGGTAAGTCTGATGACAGATGGATGCCCACACAGTTTCAAAAAACCTCCGCAAAATGTGTGTTAATTACATGACACTTTACAGTTATGTAATAACACAGTAACTACAGTTTAGAAGCCTGTGGACACCAACTTAGGCGATCAAGGTGAATCCCATCAGTGACGGGCACCCAGCACCATGTGCCAGTGGACAGGACACAGCAGGAAGGCCGGGTCCCACTGTGAGATGCCTGCCCCCGTGCGGGCACCTGGATTCGAGGTGCAGGGGGGAACATCCACAGGCCACAAAATGACCTGCCTGCAGGCCTGGAGAGAGGTCAGCACAGCCAAGGGACAATGGGAAGCCCTGCCTGGTGGAAGGAGGCTCAGGAGGCCTGACAGCTGAATGGACACATGGTTTTGGCTGTAGGGACATTTGGGGATGGCAGCAAGTTTAACAGTCAGAGGTTCGAGTGGCAGTAGTGACCCAACATTAGTGTCCTGATGGGGTGGCTCCTGTGGGACCGTCCTCACCACTGCGCATCTTGTTCTGAGGGCACGGCTGGGGCACAGCCTGCACCCAACCTTCATCCAAGCCCATGTCTACTACAGGACTCCGGGCAGCTCCCTGGGCAGGCACGGGGAGGGTGGTGGCCACCAAGTGGGATCGGCAAGCAGGCTGAGCCCCAACACCAGGGTGGGAGGCATGGAGGGTTGGTGAGGGGCCAGTTTCAGGGACTGCTGTGTCCCACCTGTGGCCAGGGGCTGGCCTGGCACTCCAGGGGCCTTGGCTGCCCTGGCTGAGCCATCCTGCTCCACTAGGAGCCATCTGTGATGCCCTCTGCACCGGGCATGCATTTTAGAGCTCAGCCCTGCAATCCAGGGCCGCCAATGGGCAGTGTGGACTTGAGGGAACGACCCCCCAGCTGCCCCAAGTGCGACAAATGCTGTCACCGTGAAGCTGTTTTCCTTGCCCCAGGCCGGTGGGTAGCAGATGCCATAAATCTGCAGGAGGGAGGGTCTGTGGAAGGGGCTGCTCCCTGCCAGGTCACCCTAGGGGGTGTCTCGGGTACACATCTCTTCAGGAAGCCAGATTCCGATCAATGGGCATGAGATCAATGAGGCCTCGAATCAGCGCTTCAGAACTAGTGCCCCTAAATCCCAGGGAGCATCTCCTGCTTTCTCAGTGTGCGGCTTTGACCTCAGACAGCACCAGCCAGCAGAGGCTGGGACACAGCCTCTCCCAGTGTGGGCTCCCGGGCGTGGTCCACGTGGCGGGCGGGGCCCCGAGAGTCCGTGGCCCAGCGTGGGGCACCCTGGAAGCTGACCCTGCTGGGGTCTGTCAAGGGCGGGCTGGCAGGGCAGAGTCACGCGTGGAGGGGCATGGGCTCCCTGGAGCACGTGGCCCGAGTCCGAGTCGGAGTTCTGGCTCCTCCGTGTGTCAGTGACGGGACTCGGGCAGGCTGCCTGCCCTCACCTGCACCCAGGTGGGAGGATCAGAGAGGCCTAGCGTGCTGTGTGCCCCTTAGAAACAGCAGTCTGCAGCAGGACAAAGAGGAACTGGGTGCTACCTGCAAGAGTGAGAGACCCTCAGAGGAGCGTGGGTGCCAGGACAGCCACTGAAGGCAGCCAGAGCCTCCGGAGGGCCGCAGGAACCTGTAGCAGGACTCAGCCCACGGGGGGCCCTGGTAGGCTACCAGAGGCTGCCGCCCGCCCCCCGTCCTCCCCTCTCCAGTGTCTGCTCTCTCTCCTCCTGAGGCCCACCGCCCCACCCCGAGCTTGGTGTCTGGCCTTAGGACACGGCTGTGACCAGACCTGCTGGTGGTGACCCCACATGACCTCCAGGCTCAAACGTGGCTGATCTCCTAGGTCACTCTGGAGAGACTCGTATGCTCCCTGGTCACGAGCCCACCCAGCATCGGTGTCAGAGGACCCGGGTCATCCTGCCTGGGAGCTGGGTCACCAACACTGTCCCAGAGCCTGAGGCCCCCTCATCTAGAGTCTGGCCTGGAATGCCCACCTGTAAACACAGGTGTTTGGCAGGGCGGCCTGGAAACTCGGGGCTCTGTCTTGCGATCAAGGAAACATC